ATAAATATATAACTACAAATTATTTGACACCAACTGAATTAAATACCAAATATATACCTTTAAGTATTAAGATAAATATCAAATTTAAAAAGTTAAACTAAAAAACTTTTAAATAAATACCAAATATATCTCATACTCACTGGAAAGCAAAAGTACTCCACCCTTACGCAAATGTAAAAAGACGCTATTTTTAGAAACTCAGCCCAATTATGTAGGCTACACTCAGCCCAATTGAAAACCCAATTAATAAATCTATACATAAAGATAGCTTTAAGATATTTGACTTTTCTTCCAGTCAGCTGCTAGGGTTTTTTCATCTCTTGCAGACAGGCGGCGGCGGCGGCGGCGGCGGCGGCACCAAGCTTCGGAATCAGAAATGGTGAAGGGTCGCCAAGGAGAGCGTGTCAGGTTCCAGTCTCCGATAATCTTGAATCTCCGTTTTCTTTAGTTACCAAAAGACACTCTCTTTATCCCCGTTTTATTTCTGTTTTTAATTCCCAGGCTCTATGTTCGTGGAACCATTCTCGGGTACAAGAGGTAAAGGAACACTGTGGCTCTTGCGAACTGAACTGGGGTTTATTTCCAGCTAGAGGAATGGTCATCGTTACATGGGTTGGTTTTCTTTTTCCACAATTTTCTTAGGTCGAAGTCAAACCAGTACCCAAACACGTCCCTGATCCAGATCGAGGGGGTGAATACTCGAGAGGAGGTGGCATGGTACTGCGGCAAGAGGATGGCGTACATCTACAAGGCGAAGGTGAAGAAGAATGGATCCCATTATCGCTGCATTTGGGGTAAGATAACTCGGCCTCATGGTAATAGCGGTGTTGTTCGTGCAAAGTTCAAGTCCAATCTCCCACCTAAATCCATGGTAAGAAGACGGTTTCCATGTGCAATTGCATTCATTAGCCATTTTTTGAATTCCATTTGGGTTTTGGAATTTTGATTTGATTTCCTTTTTTAATTGTGCAGGGAGCCAGAGTGAGAGTATTCATGTATCCCAGCAACATTTGAGGTAGCTTGAACACTTCTCTTTGCTCAGATATTGGTTATTTGCATGATTTCAGTTGAACTTTAGATATGGATTTAATTTTTCCATCGCAAGTTTCAATATTGATCATCGACGGTATAAGCTCGGATGGTAGATACTAGATAGTTATCTGGACACGAAGCAACTTATTATGGTCAATATTTTTTCCCAACATTCTATTTTTGCCGAATTCAAAGTTTAATTCATGTCAAATATGGATCCGATATTGTGCATTACAGTTATTAAACAAAAGGCAAATACCTTTGGACATAAATGCAAGAAAATGTAATGAAACTCGCCTCTCTGTTTGTAATTCTTGTTTTTTTTCTTATATTAGCAGCATGACTGAAGTAATAGTGGTTTTTAGCCGTTTGCCTCTAAAGAATAGGATTCTTTTAAATTTTCTTTTGCTGTCAATATCATAGAGCTAATGCTATATCATATTGTTATGGGCGGGCTGGCAGGGGCCTGGGGTTTTGCTAAAAGCACCAATCATAGGGCAAATCTATGTCCTAGATGGAGTATGTTCCTGCTTATCCCAAACCCTTTATAAGCTTCCTCCCTCAGCTTTTGTTTATACATTGCAGCAGCACATACTTTCTGCTTCATCGCTTTTGTTGAATGCAGTATATTTTGTTGTTATTCCCTCAAAATCTGAAGAAACACATAATTAATGTGCTTGGAATCAGTTCAATAGACTATTCTCTGCATTTTTAATTTTTTCCGTTATGCCCAATTATGTTAATATTCACTTGATATGCGCCTTATGTTTTTCTTTTGGTCTTGCAGTGACATGTTATCTAAGATTGGTACCGAATGGTGGATCTAGAAGTTTTGGGATATACCATCAGAAGAGTTAAGCTTTGAAGTTTTCTGTACTCAGAGAGTGAATAGTAGCCATCTGTTCTGACTTTTCTTCAATTAACTATTATGGGTTTTTGTAAGTTTTTTATACTTTTTATTATAATGATAGTTATTTTGAATTTGAGTACAATCATTTCATGAAATACTGTTTTATGGATTGCTCTTTGCTTGTTTGATGTGTTTGGATGATTAATCTTCCGTCTCCATATTAAGAGTACGTTTGGCTTATGGATATCCACTCCCACCAAATTTTCTTCACCTATTGCATTCTTCAATCATAATTCTGAACTTATCAACTAGTGCGACTTTGATTGAGGGGTCCGGGGCTTGTCTTGTCCATTTCCATTTTCGTGAGCACCCGAGGATTGGGATAAAGAAAATCAAATGATAAGCATCCACATACATTAGTGCAGTGCAATGCAATGCAATGAGGTGGGGAGATGGAACTTGGTTAGCGTGGCTCGTTACTGCAGGCACCAACTGAACCATACTTTCCATTGCTTCTTGAGCGTGTTACTAATATCCTTCAAGCATTAAGTGCATGTTTGGGTTAAGCGGAATGGAGGGAAAAAAAAAATTTTTTACTTTATTTTTTTTTCTTCGTTTGTTAATTTATCTAAATAAGGGGAAGGGGAAGGGGAAGGGGAAGGGGAAGGGTGGGGGGTGTGGAGGAGAATGTATAAGGTTGCATAAAATGCTAAGTGATGATGGGCAATTGCTCACCGCCTATTGAGCCTAAAGCCTAGAGTGTATAGA